AGTAAGGCATGAGATGACTCTTGAGTAGGGTTAATTAAAAAGTCTTTCAGGTCAAATATGAAATGTTATACCGCAATTTTCTTTTTCATGCAAACTGGTTTATCTCGTGACATTATGAGGCCCGATCGCACGCGCGGATCGTGCGAGGAAATGACATGGCGCGCGTGTCATACGTGCGTGGAAATACTTATTTTATTGCGAAGTCACGCCAGTTGCTGATATGCACAATTATACAACACCGTTATTCATACAACAAGGACGAAACCTCGATCCCAGGCTCTCTCCCTTTTCCTCTCTTGTGTACCTGGGAACGAGGTTGATAACGAAATGTACGCGGGGGCCAAATGCATGTCGACGATAGAAACATAGCCGAAATTCTCAAAAAAAGTCCCGCTTGTGCGAGAGAAGAGGAGAGAAGACATGGAAAATAGTCTGCCTTCTCTTTCGTCGAACGCAATCACTATTTTGCTTGTTTATTTACGTAGCTCCCTTGTTAAGTTGTTGAAGCAATTAAAACTGCGCCAAAAAGATCACAAGGCCGACCTCTGAGTGGACCTCTGTCTGCGAAAAGAAAATAGTGTCTACATTTAAGTGATAAATAAGCAAAACAGCTTCTGATCTCGTCCCGTGAAGTTCTACTGAGGAACGAACTGACTTGCTGCCGACAACAAACAAGAAAATCTCTACAAATGAAGAAATTTGATATCGAATAACTCACAGATAGCTATACATTTATTTTAATGATTGTTCACAAAGAAGAAACAAAATTTATATCAATTAGTTAATTGATTAATTTACTCCTAATTGAGTCCCTGACATTTGACGAACTTGATATTTGAATGAACTTTCCAGATCGTGTCCTTTCAACGAATTAGAAACATTCACAAGCTTTTGGTGAAAAATATATAACGAAGTCTGGTCTGAGTTTCAACAGGATCGCGTGACAAAGTAACTGATCGCGTGACAAAGTAAGGCCGTTGTTGGAAACATAATTGATGATGTTCTGTGTGCGAGGTGGCTCAGACACAACATTTGGCGAGAGTAGTATAAAAGGCAGTATACAACAGTACAGAGGAGAGCAGTATACTCCTAAAAACTTAAACTGAGATACAAATTCTGAAATTCAGGCTAATTCAGGCTTTTGAATCGTCAGGCAATTCCAGTTGTCACTCACCCGAGCTTCGCGAGGACCTGCGAGTCACGTATTGCTAATAAATAACTTCGTTCACTCCAGATCGTAAATTGTCTGCCGAGTCAACTCCAGATCGTAAATTGTCTGCCGAGTCAACTGAAGAACGCTCCCAGTATATCTAGATATACATCCTTCAAATTTGATCAGCAAAATCTTTTGCCGACTTGGACTTGGAGATCAAATTTTACAGACGGTTTTATTTGACATCAGGTTGCCATAGAAACATTGCGTTCGCGCCGCCTATTTGTTTGCACGAATTTCATTCATAATGGCGGAATTTACCGCAGATCCATTCATTGAGTGTAAATAAAGAGTTTATACTGACAACGAGCTTTCTGCAAACTACTCCAGTACACTCGACGACGTTAATTTAATTAACAAACATTACATACAAAATTAGTTAACCAGAGTTAAATTGATTACCTTAGCTATCACTTCCTCTACACGAGACAGCAAAGAAAAGCGTGAAATCCTCACGCGATACCACAAGAAAAATCACGAAATCAAGATTAGACCGAAAAAGAAACAGTTTTGACACGGAGCGGAGAGGAAATTAAATAAAACGATCTCACCTTTCCTGATTTATACACTACAGTTCAATGAACTCGGGGAAGCATGCGTCCAACAGATTGAACAATTATTAAACTATGTCACGAAATTGTAAGTAATTTTTCTGATGAACAATGATTACTTTCGAATTGAAGGAAATCTCAAAATAACAGTTCGCTAAGGTAGAGAAACATCAAAGAAGTAATTATAAACCAAACAGGAATAAGGATGGTTAAGACTGAAGAAGATTAAGACGGATTGCGCGAACGACGAACTTGAAAACAATTGGCTATATAATGTTTTCAAGATGCGTCGCTAACTACGCATCTTGAAAACATTATATAGCCATTGTTTTCAAGTTCGTCGAGCTGCAAGGTCTCCGAGCTGATAACCATCAACATGCCTTGATTTATATACGTCTCACTAACAATCAATTAAGGGTAATCACAGAATCAAGGAACACACTGGTTGCAGTTAGCCTTGACTTCTTGTGAGTGACAAACCCAAATTAGCCATCTCACAGTTCAATTTAGCTCTCTGTTGGACGTTTCGTCCTCGAACAAAGCATTTCGTTGCTTTTCTGGGAGAGATATGGGTTGCCTTACTCGCTACCAGCGGGCCCCTGACATTTCAAACTGCGTTCTAAGACCCAAACTGTCTGACTAGTACGAATCTACAGGCAAAAATATTCAAGCTTGAATCATTAAAATGCCTTGAGATTTGAAATGTGTTCCATACGGAGGTGAATTCAAGGTGCCTTGACTTACCCTACCCCTAAATTGGTTAATTTATTTTCCTTGACAGCTCAAGGAAAGGCCAACGGCAAAACCAAATGGCACATTACTGTCGCGAGACAATCAACCTATTTTCAACACTTCTCTCCCGAAAAGGGGACAACCGCTAGGAATTAGGGTCATTTTTTATGCATTTGACAGTTAAGGTCTCCTTGTGCAGCATTTAGTTTCAAAGGAATCTATGCATTTGCTCAATAATAACGAACGCAGTGTGCATGGGTATCCCAGGACGACATGTGATTGAAGGTTAGTCGAGATTAAGTTAAACGAAATAGTGGTAAAACACTCTTACCTTGAAAATGGAGTAGATTCCGGAGAAGGCCTTTAGGTGATGTACTGATAACTAGGAGTGAAACACTCAAGTGTGTTTAGATTGCCTGAACAAACGGCCATTGACCGATAAACAACAGCTCTGCACGCAGTGCGAGCTCCTGTGAGAAAATCCCTGCTTTATACATTAGGCGCTTATGATGAAGTGCACTTAGATTGTTGCAGATCATCAGAAAAATAAGCTTTATTGGAAATGTGAAAGCTTGAATAACGACCTTAACTGTGGGGAAAATATGATAAGGTTGAAATAATTATTCATTTAGATGTGTTTAGCAATCCCGCGTATTGACCAAGTTCACTATACCTTCGGAAAGCAGAAGATGTAGTGTGGATGGCTGTATATTATTCTTGGAAACGCAGAACTTTAAAACAGGGCTGATATACAGTTTATTGAACAGTTTGGCAATCACCCAATTAATGTCGATCAGCGGCGTGTTATAATAGAAACAATAACAATTATAATACCGTGACTTATGATCAAGTTCAACCTGAATCTAGCTTGTAACTACTATTTTCAGTCAGTTCTCGCACTGACCCGAAGATATTGAAAACACAACGCTAATTAAGCTTATTGTATTTTATACGAAGATTCAGTCAGCTGGTTCAAATCATCATGGGAAGATTTGCCATGCGAATCCTGTTAACCGTTGCCACTATTGATCTCAGTACCCCGGATCAGTTACAAGGCACAATTATCTCAGCATTCACTCTGACCGGTGTAGCTTTAGCCTGCGTGCAGACGTCTCCTTTTCCTTGCTTTCGCGAGAAGCAAGGAAAAGGAGACGTCTGCACGCAGGCTAGTGTAGCTTTGCGGCAGGGAGATCTGTTTGACACCCAAGGTGAAAATAAGCGCCAAGAGTAGAACTTGCCTACAGTAATGAGAAAAAAAGCTTGTCCACTGCAAAATAGGAACATTGTCTTGATATAAGGAATTTCTCCTAACTAGCAAAATAATCATGAGACCGTTAATGAGAATTTATGTGTAGTCAGTTGTTGGTAGCCTGTAATCCATTGCTCCAAATCGGCCCAAAAGGTCGTTTTCGGCCTGTACCACTGTGGGCTGTCCCGCGCGCGCACGGTTTGGCGAGCTGCTTTCGGCCAAAATGACGATTTGGGGCTCCTCTCTGTATTCCGGTAGGCTGGCGTTTTCAAGTTGTATGCTTTAAAATCACGAGTCGCCAACTTGAAGCGTAAAATACTGCCTATCTTGACAAAAAAAACTGTCACAAATTGAATTCGGACGCATAAAAAGTTAAGCTCGTGAGCTATTATAGAAAAAGAGATAAAACAGAAGAGTTTAAATAACGATACTGAACTTCTAATTCAATGACATCAATGACATGTTTCTAATCAATTTAGTCGTCAAACGATATCATAAACCCATTGTTGTACCTTAGAAATCAAAGCCGGCTGGTCTGGCAATATAGTATTATCATTTAACTCATTTTTAAAAATAATTAAATTTACCAGTTCATCAAAAACCTGTTTTGTTTCTATTCCCGACTGAGTGGTCCTCAGTCAATTCCTCGAAATTTGTTCAGTTTAAAAAAAGTTCTTTACCTAGTGTTGCAATCTTGGAACTACTGGTGATCATATGGAAGATCTGTACGGAACTAGTATGCAGATGACAGACGATTTTCATATTCGATACTTGAAATAATAATGAAATATAGCCTTGTCACTGAAGATGACATCCATATGCGATACTTAACAATTATTCGCCGAAGGCGAAGTGAATATTGGTGAATATTCCCCGAGACGAAGTCGAGGGGAATATTCATCAATATTCACGAGTCTGAGGCGAATAATTGTTTTATAATATACAAAACACAGGGAAGATGTTGAATTTCTCCGAGGAAAATAGAAAAAGACCAAAATGTTCCGCCATTTTTTGCCCGAGACAAACAAAATTGAACTTCGTGGCATTTCCAAATAAGGTAGAGAGGGTATATTGCCTCTGAGACCATGAGTAGGGAACCAATCAATTGCTCGAAAATGCATTATCCCATGGTTAGTATATTATAAAAGATGTTAGCAGTAATGTTCGTTTCATTATACTGAAGCTGTGGTAATGATAGCCGTTCTAAAGGCCCAAGTCACGTGCTAATATGCATGCAATTAAATTTGTAAATGGCGCGTCGGTTAGCGTCTGGTTAGCGCGTTGGACTCCGGATCGAGCGGTCCGGGTTCGAGCCCTGGCCGGGGTCATTGTGTTGTGTTCTTGGGCAAGACACTTAACTCTCACAGTGCCTCTTTCCACCCAGGAGTATCACTGCATGGGTACCGGCGACAAAATGCTGGGGGTAACCTGCGATGGACTAACATCCCATCAAGGGGAGTAGCAATACTCCTAATCGCTTCATGCTACAGAAACCGGGATAGGCTCCGGGAGCTTCTTCGGTCTTCTTCTAACCGCTTTCGTGGTTTAACAGTCGATAACTGACCTCTGGAGCCAGGGTGGATTGGCCCGAGCGCGACTTTACCTTTTTATCAGTAAAGTTCAGCTTGTGGGCATACGTGAGTTACATGTATATTAGGAAACGCGCGAAGGAAATCAATCATTTGTCACTCCATGAGTAACGAGCTCTTGATTGAAGTTGAACACGTGTTTGGCATATTTACCCATTTTCGATTTAAAAATAAATTGAAGATTGTGATATTCCTTTTCCTTCTCATTAAAAGCTGATTGAATGCTGATGTTAGTATCTGTCGAGATTGAGGTATGTAAAAGAGTAATGTATTTACTGTTAAGACATTTATGGTAGACGCTAGTTTTGATCAACTTGGATCTCGCGTGAGAATTTCACCATGCGCTATTTTTAGGTCCGTTAGCATAGAGATCAGAAACTCTTCAGGTATAGAGTCGATATAGATAGACTGCAATGCAACCTCACTAGCCGGGACTAGCCGGTTCCGAAAATGTGATCACTTCGCTATATAATATGTGACACACAGGTCAGTCAATCATGTCTTACCAGTAGACAGTGACTAGTCCCACCTGAGATTTGCCCGTAGCCGTCGTTCACTCAGTGTATCCGACTTCGTTACAATATTGGGTTGCATTTTCTCGCTGGTCCTTTCGATAAGTAAAATTTCCTAAACGTGCAATCGACAGAAATATCAGTTTAAATTATTGCTCATTGGATAAACATTCGTTTTAGAAAAACACGACAGAGGGATACTGACTAGACTATGATATGTTGTGCAACGTGACTAAGGGATACTATAACATATGATTGTTCCATTATTTCTTCTGAAATTTTCATTATTTTATTATTCCGCTCGCAAAACTCTTATCAATTCATTTTTTTGTTCAAAACAAATCTACAACTTCCATTATTTTTAAAAAAAATCGTTCCTTACATCCTAGGTTATTTTCAAAGTTAATTATCTCCAAAACTGACATACTTCGTTCCAAATTGTATGTTGCTATAGTAGTGTTACACGTTATTGCAACTTGAGTCAAAATTTTCTTCCGTTTCAAGTATACTACACTGCCAGCTATTGCCTGGTGTATTTTTAACAGCAAGCTCAAGTGTATATCAGTGTAATATATATCAACTGATCATGACCCATGTGGGGAAACCTCTTCGGAAATCTTCAGGCAATTTTCGGCACTCGTCCAAAGAATATTTCATCATTTTGCATTCGATTTCACTGCTATCCTCTTTTATTTCACATATTAAACAGTACTTCTCTCGACAATTTTTGTAGTGAATGCTCACGTTCATGTCTCCAGCAATAAACTTTCATAATTATGGAATTAGTTTAGAACTAGTTTATATCCGACCCCTTGTTTATATGTAGCAATTTTTAAAGAAAATAAACTTATATTAGATCATGTTGGTCAGAAAGGTCAAGTTGATATAGGTCTGGACTGTGGAGTGATATGAAAGATCTGTAGAACAGTACTGCAAACAATATGTATGAACTACTGATCATATAACAAGACTACGTAAATATATCATATTTGTTTTTGTTTTTTAACTGACCACCCAAGTAGATTGTATATGTATTCAGTCGTTTATAAATCAACATGTCAGTACGTATCAGTCAAGAACTGTTGGGGTTTTTGTTTCGTTGGGAAATACTGTATGGTATATACTCTACTTCTCTGATTTCCGGACATAATTACTTCTGTGTCGATGAGGTCGCTAGATCGCTAAGCTATCATGTGGACAAATTATCTCGCAATAATTGGATATAATTTTCCGACCCTGGAGAAGTTAAAATTCCTTGGAATGCCCATTTATGCGCTCGAATAGGAATTTGTAGGTCCGTAATACATGCAAACAATTCACTGCGCAGCAGTTTGCTTCGAGGGTTGCGTCACGCAATCTCAAAACACGAGGAAAGATGAAAAAAAAAACCGCAAGAGTTATAAGAAGGCACTCACTTCAGCTTTTTCGCTTTAGCCTCCGTTTAACATAGACTCATTTGCCAAAAAAAATTGCCAAGCAAAACATACTCTGAAGCCGGTGTTCAGTAGACAAAAACGGTTAAAAACTTGAAAATTATCCTGGCGAAGACACTTAAAAAAGCCAAACTATATTTTGTAACTCGACTCTGGTAATGTTTTAAAACTACAAACTACGATTGAAATATCCTGGGAGAAGGAATTTCCGGCTTAAACTAACGTTGAAAACAGCCAAAACTGCATGATTCTTTCCTTATTTCCGCATCTGCGCCCACGCTGTCTCAAGTACCACTTTTAAGTGGGAAAATATAGCACTTCTTGGTTATCACTGGTGCTTTATTTACGTATTTAACGGTAGTGATTCAAGAAGCAAAGTTATTTTTCTATCAAAACAACGAGTTGTTTAAAGGTAAATAACATACACATTTTACCGACCTCTAGGTCAATGCCTTTGCGTGGTACCGGTAGATTTCTTTCGCATATAATTGCATTAAACCCGGCATTTATTAGAATTGTCTGAAATTAAAAAGGCCCCTCTCAGGCCACAAACATTTTGCAATTCCTGGAATAAAACCCACTCCAAGTTGTCGTGTGTAAAATTTTGTTTACTCGACAAATATTTAAATGGTATTTACCATGGTATTTACTTTTCGGCGAGCCGGTAGACAACTGAGGCTATAAAGAACTGTATAATATAGTCATTAAAATGCTCAAAGGCACTCCGCTCTGACAGAATACCGACAATGAACCAGTTGTACAATAGATTTACCGCGAAATTACCACTTTTCTAGACCGGCCACCGTGTTACGGCCATTAGAACCGCTACTATTGTACAACATCAAACATTTGCGGCCATAACACACACAGACTTACGTGTTTAATCCGTTAATATCAACAATGGAAAACCAATAATTTGTTTACCGCAAAAGAGTTATATTGATCATGTACATCCGGCAGCCATTTATTGGCGCGGCCAACGTCAGTTCCAAAGCACCTCGCTGCTGGAACTGTACAAGTCAGTTGCTGCGGTCACTCAAAGGCCGCCGGCTTCTAGCTGTTGACGGAGTTTTTAATCGGACTATGAAGGAATGCTTTGATCCAATGGTCTTTTATTATCACGGATACATGGATAACTAAAGTTTCCTTTTCTTTATAAAGTGGCTCGTCGAGATAAAGACCCGAAACTTTGTAATGTACGAAGAATGTGGTAAAGGAAGTGAGTATTTATTTAGGTATTGACGCTCTCGCTAATAGAGTTATAATGGAGGTAATTAATTATCGGATCGAACTTGCTTTATATTTTCGTTCGTGTAACGAAACTCGAAATACTGATCTAACTGAAAGATTTTGATGCAGTGTTCACAGATTTATTTATTTGGATTGACAAAGTTGCTTATCCTGTTTCGTGTTGATATCTGTAAACATAACCCGCAATGTAAACATTGTCAAGATCAATGGCTTCAACAGCCTTCAACGTGCTCGGTAGACCGTGTAATTTCGCGACGAACAACAAAAAGCCTTTTATTTCGCAGTCAGGGCAAACTACAATGAAAGAGTCGCTTTGCAATTTGCGGCAAAATGAAATATTTCGTGTGTTCTTTATGAGCTTTAAAACGCAAAACACCGCAAAAACACGTTCAAAACAACTTTCCCCCGGGGAAGCATCAGAAAGTATGCATACAATAAAAGCGAAATTTCTTAAATGTTTTCTTTTATTTCATACAGTGATAGAACAAAAGTGAAGTTACACACCCATGTGAGGTAATGGCGTGGTATATAACAAACCGGGGGCGACTGAACGAACACAGTTTGTCCGAGCAAGCTTAGAGGACGTCTAACCAGCAGCAAGGATTGAACCGGTTGTTCAGGACTCGAAGTACCAAATGGAGTGGAAAATGGTAAGCTGCTTGTACAAACTTTTAATGAACACTAGAGATATTCCGTGGTTTATACCGTTAACTCAAAGCAAACTAAGTAAAGTTCAATTAGCGAATAATTATTCTCTGTTGAAAAAAGTATGTGGAATTTCAATATAGCTTCGAGTGCGCGTGAAGTACTAAGCTTTTTGTCAAGTGCACTAAAAGTAAAACGGAAGTTTATGAGTATTGCCCGCTCGCTGCAAATCAATGCTCTGCTATTCTAACAAGATGTGAACAACAGCCTGGATTTTCATTATTATACGAGTGTAATTGCCTCGACATTCCACAAGTTAAAATAATGGAAAACACGCCCTTCAGAACTCACACTCCAAGCTGTTAAAAACAGTGAGCGTTCACAACGCCATTTTTCAGTGTCTCCTAAACTCATTTCTACGGCCGCAAAAATGCGCATTTGAAGTGGCGAGCAGGTCCTAGCACAAATCAACATTTCAGTGATCTTTTCCGTTGATTCTTTAGCTGAACAACTTAGCGGCAGAAAGTTTAGAGAGTCAAATCTTCTCATGGATATGTTATCTGTAACTTTTGTTTCAACGAAGCGTTCATATGTTGTAAGAAAGACTTTTTCTTTTTCCGCCGGAAAACATAGCTATATTTTCGGCCAAAAAAGTCGCAGTTTGATTATTTAATAAAGGAAAAGCATGTTAGTTTGAACTTTTTCTTGCGGTAATACAGTAGTTAATTAACATCCAAGATTCTTCCGAAAGCGCTAAGAAGCCTTTGTTGTCAAGAAAAGTTTAGTCAGATTATCGCACGTGTTACGGTCTAGTTTCTCAACAAAATGAATTACGAAACTTGGAGGTTACCGAACACCCTACCGATATAAATTGAATGCTATAAAAAATATTTCCTTA